TTTTATTTGTATTAGATGAAGTATGAAAATGGAATACTTCGGTCAGCTATATCTATTACCTGACGCATATTTCCGAAAATGTGCACCTATCTCATATAAAGTACAAGAAGTAGCCGATATAGTCCAAATCTGTCACGTTCATTAATCAAGGCTGGGGGTATACATCTGTCGGCAAAACCGACTGATACTATTTTACTTGTTTATTTTTTCCTTGGGCACCTGAATATTTTAGATGTTTGTTTCTAATATTTTTTAATGGACCACAAGAGTTGTAACCATATGTTTTAAAAAATAGTTTTCTATTTTCTACACCACGAGAGAATTATCTGGCTTTTGATTAAAGGACAAAATAACTTTATCCATGAAACTTTTAAAAATATTTCTTAAAAGACAATTAGACCTGCAATCGTGGTGGGTTTTCAGGGAGTAGTAGAGCTTTCATAATGGATTTTTTCATGAACGAGAAGAGCTTTAATCTTAAGCTATTGAAAACAATTTTCTGTCGTATCCATTATGAACTTCAAATACCAAATTTGAAACAAATTCCGGTGAATAATGCCGCCAAAATCATCAAAGTACCGAATATCGGGGGGTACCGTTATATGGGGGCTATACGAAGAGGTGGACCTGCACAGACAATTTTCGGTCTTAGACTGTACTATCCATTTCAAACTTCAAATACCCAATTTGAAACATTTCCGGTGAATAAATCACCAAAATACAGATAAAAGGAGGTACCATTATATGGGTGATATAACAAAACATGGACCTACATGACCCATTTTCTATACCAAAAATCCTGCAGACATAGTACAAATTTGAGTAAAATTTTATAAACCTACTTCATTTCGTTTGGAAGCTAGAATGATTTCCACAGACGGACGGACATCGCTAAATCGAAATAGAATTTTATGCCGGTTAAGAATATGTATACTTTTTAGGGTCTAAAATGTATATTTCGAGGTGTTACAAGAGGAATGACAAACTTAATATACCCTCCATACTATGGTGGAGGGTATAAAAAGTAATCACGTTTTTTTTAGGGACCAAGAAAGGTAAGCTAAGATGTCTTCTAGGACCAGCAGGAACAACAACAATCGAGAGTTTTTAAAGATTGTTTTTCTGAGGAAGAGTTGGACTAAGAATAGAGTTGTGTCATAGGTCAGTACACCAGATTCTAAACGTATGAGTGATTTCAGATATTTCATATCACTCATACGCGGAATTTGCATAGAAATGACCGGAATCTACGGAACTATATAAGGACCTACTTCGTTCTAGCGAACATGATTGGTAAAACTCTATTTAATACCCTGGATTTTTAAAGAATATTTCTTTAAGGACCAATAGAGCTGTAGCCGTTGACTTTTACAGAATATTTCTTCAAAGACAGAACATTTCACCAAGCACCAACTATGCCTTTTTATCGGGGATTTTAAGGAATATTTCATCTAGGACAAATACAGATATAATCGCAGGTTTTCAATGAACATCTTATTAGAGACCGATAAAGCTTTAATGATTTTTGATATTTAAAAATATATATATATATACAGAGTTGTCCATATTCGCCGGACCCATGTTTTTTTAAAAAAATCAAAGAAAAACCAGTAAGGAAAGCTCAAAAGTCGGGCGGGGCCGACTATATGATACCCTACACCACTATGCATATTTAGTAGAGCTCTAGTAAAAAGGTTTATACAGGGCATTTCAGCGCTCTATGAGATATTTGGTACAAAATCAAAATCTATCTAATTCTATCGTGCATTTTACGAACTATAGCTATCTCTGAACCGGGTTTCTCCAAATTTTACGTATTATCTTCTAGACTGGTGATTTGGGCTGATATTGACCATTTAGTGCACATTTAACCCGAAATCGGATGAAGATATATATGAGAGCTATATCCAAATCTGAACCGATTTCGATAAAATTTAAAACAGCTATTCCTGTGCTCCATCTAATACCTGGTACCAAATATCACGGTTGTGGAGTGAATATTACGAATGTATGGGACTAAAACTCTAAATCGGATGAAACATATATATGATTGCTATATCTATATCTGAACCGATTTTCACTAAATTTGATATACTTGCTTCTAGGCTGGATTTGGTCCGATGTACTAAAATTCAGTCCATTTGGACTTATATCGGCCATTTGGTGCACAATTAACCCGAAATCGGATGAAGATATATATGGGAGCTATATCCAAATCTGAACCGATTTCGATAAAATTACAAACAGCTATTTCTGGGCTGTATCTTATATCTGGTACCAAATATCATTCTTGTGGAGTGCATATTACGAATGTGAGAGGCTTAAACACCAAATCGGATGAAAGATATATATGGGAGCTATAGCTATATCTGAACCGATTTTCTCCAAATTTGATATACTTGCTTCTAGGCCGAACTCGGTTGGGTGTGCCAAAATTCAGGTAATTTGGACTGATAGTGGACATTTGGTGCACATTTAACCCGAAATCGGATGAATATATATATATGGGAGCCATAGCTGTTTCTGAACCGATTTTCTCCAAATTTGTTGTATTTGCTTTAAGGCTAATCTCGGTCACATGTGCCAAAATTCGGGCCATTTGGGCTGATATTGGCCATTTGGTGGTCAATTAACCCGAAATCGGATGAAGATATATATGGGAGCTATATCCAAATCTGAACCGATTTCGATAAAATTTAAAACAGCTATTTCTGTGCTCCATCTAATACCTGGTACCAAATATCACGGTTGTGGAGTGCATAGTAGGAATGTTAGGGACTTAAAGATCAAATCGGATGAAAGATATATATGGGAGCTATATCTATATCTGAACCGATTTTCTCCAAATTTGATATACTTGCTTCTAGGCCGAACTCGGTTGGGTGTGCCAAAATTCGGGCCATTTGGGCTGATATTGGCCATTTGGTGCACATTTAACCCGAAATCGGATGAAGATATATATGGGAGCTATATCTAAATTTGATCCGATTCTCACCAATTTCAATAGGGTTCGTCCTTGGGCCAAAAAAATATTGTTTGGAAAATTTCATCTCAATCGGATAATAAATGCGACCTGCATTTTGTTCACAAGAATACATGGACAGACGGACGGACGGACGGACGGACGGACGGACGGACAGACGGACTGACATGCATAAATCGACTCAGAAAGTGATTCTATCAAGGTTCTCAAAAGTAACTATGGGTCTATCTCGTTTCCTTCTCCATGTTACAAACAAATGCACAAAGACATAATACCCTTACCACTATGTGGTGTAGGGTATAAAAATTTGGCGGTTGCAATGTTAATCATTTAATTTGTTCCAAGTAGATTTGTTTACATCAATTTTTGAATATGATTTCTCTCAAATGGCCGCCTCTGGCGTTGATGACGTATTGTGCTCTTTTTGCTGCATTTTCCATCGTTTTTGACAACATTTCGGCCGGAATAGCGGCTATTTCTTCACGAATGTTGTCCTTGAGCTCTTCTACGGTCCTTGGCTTGTTAACGTAAACCATTGACTTCGAATATCCCCACAAGAAGAAGTCAGGCGGCGTCAAATCGGGCGAACGCGGTGGCCAGTCCAAATCACCACTTTTCGACATCAAACGGCCCGGAAACAAATTCTTCAGAAAATCGATTGTTATGCGACTTGTTTGCGGCGGAGCGCCGTCTTGTTGAAACCAGAACTGTCTCATACGCTTTCGACGAATAATTGGCATCACATAATCCGTTGTAAAGTGGACCGAGTCATGCCCAACTGCTGAGAACGGCGTTTTTGGGATGTTCTTGGGGACCTCTCAACATTCTCGGCCGATCGCCTTGGTCGACTTTTATATGGCCTCTTCGGATTAGAAAGAGCCTTACAAGTCGAAAATGTTTCGTATTAACGCTTAATCGTGTTCTTAGAAGGCGCACTTCTCAAATTTTTTTAATGTTTTAAAAGCACGTTGAGTTTTCACAATTGACTTCTTCTGTTGAATGTAAATTTCAGAGAGCTCGCGTGGCGTGTATTGGTTCTTGGTAAAAATCTGCTTGGTCTGACGCTTCAAACGCGGTATGTCATTAAACGATGTGACATCTCTGTCAAAAGTTATGGCGTTGCCAGATGGGTCCGTCGAATATGGACAACCCTGTATTATAAAAATGTTTTTCCAAGGTCCTTCTTATCAATAAATGTAAATTTTTTTGAAAAAAAATATTTGAAGGAATGTTTTAACGACCTTCTTTACAATGAATGTGAATATTCATTTTTTATGTTTTTTAAGGACCTTCATAGGCAAGAACTTTGATTTTTTGACGAATATTTTCTCGAGGATCTTCTCAGCCAAATACCTGATTTTTAATAATGATTTTTAAGGACCTTCTCAATCATAATCATGGATTTATGAAGAATATTTTCTAGCACCCTCTCAGCCTTTAACAAGGATTTATAAAGAATATATTTCAAGTACTTTGTTTTGTTCAAATATCTTCTCGAAAATTAAATTGGATAAAATATATTGTCAGTCTTAAAATCTACTCAGCAATTAAAGCGGATATTTAAAGAACTGGACTTAAAAAATACCTTCCCAGCTACAAAAATATATATTTTTCAAGGACCTTTTCAGGCATAAATGTGAATTTTAAATCATTTTTTTCTATTTATGCAAAAAAACTCACGAGTTTTTTGTTGATTATGATAATGACATTCCATACAAAACTACGAAAAAATATTTTAGGACCTTCTTGATATTTTTTTTTTTTTTTTTTTTTTTTTGTTTAAACGCCATCTACTTTTCGTATATGGCGAAAACATTGACATATTTTGAATAATTCTGATAATGTAAAAGCTCGTTTAATTATACTACCATGTATAGGTTTATTCGTAATATTTACTCAAGGCCAGAAATGTTCTTCTTCTTAATTATATTCTATTTCATTTGTAGTGCTTCTGTCGAATTTCCATCTGCTAATTAATATCTATATTTCTGATAAATTTTTTACTTTTTCTTTTCAGTTGGTACACATAAATATCGTAAATAAAGTGGTACATCATCAGCCCAAGTCAATTAAACCAGGAGAAAGAGAATTAAAAAAAACTGACAAAAGTCGGCTTCAGCTAAATATACGTAAATAATTTGAAAATCCAAATTTAAACAAATATCCCAAAAAAGAACTAAAATAAATTAACATTAAATGGATCAAAACAATTAACCAACTTATAATGACAACAACAACAACAATAGCCACAAGATAATTAGCAACAAAAACAAACAAATCCACATCATTAAGGGCAGCAGCCGCCGCACTTGATATTCAAGCTTGTTAATGTCATAACCTCAACTAAATTGAGTTAATTAAATGGCATTTTAAATCATTTTGGGACAGTTAATGGTCTAAAAAATGGACAAACTATTTAAAAAGATAAACATCACGCATTGCTGTATCTCCTCTTCCTCCTCCACCATCAAAAGCTGCTTTTCCTTCAACTTCATCATAATTATGATAATTTATAAATGATAATTAACATTTCACTGCAGTTTCACGTAACGAAAACGAATAACGACAAGCAAAAGGTGATACACAAATTTTTAATTTATTTGCGAAAATAACAACAACATCTACCAACGAAAAACAATCATTACTTCGATTACAACAATCACAATAACGAGAACTGATAATAAAAATTCATCAGCACTCATTTTTTGGGGCATAATCCATCCCAAGTTAAATTCTCTTAACCATACTGTGATAACAAAAACCAAAAGGTAAGGAACTTTTTTTTAATTTACTTTAAATTGATTTATTGAGGATAATTTAAACTTTATGTATAATTAAATTAAAAACTCATCTGAGACGTTGCATTAAATAGTACATTGATCATATTCGAGCATATGCAAGACCTATCATATGTGAACAGTTTTGAATCCTTCATATTATTATATCCTTAGCCACATGGCTAGAGAGGGCCAAAAGTCGCATCATCGAAATAACGGTTTTATATCCAACGTATCTTTGTATCAAATCCGTCTCAGGACATTTGGAATTGATCTAGCAATGTCCGTCCGTCTGTCTGTCTGGCTGGTGCGCACGATAACTCTCGAAGAGAGTATCCGATTTGATCCAAACTTGATACATCGTAATATTATTGTCAAACTTAGATCGAATTCGGAGATGGGCGATATCGGTCCACTCCTTCTGGTACCTCCCCCACAAAATGTCGAAATGTTCAAAGAAAATATTTTATTGCACAGAAAGAGAAAGGATTATCCGATTTTGCTCCAACTTTTCGAAGCCTAATATTTCCATTAGTGCTAGGTCAGGTGCGAAATGGATAATATCGGTTCACTACATCAAGCACCTCCCCCACAAAGGGTCAAAATTTTTAATAATTATAACTCTCATAAAATGTGATGTGATTGTCTTTAAATTTCACATATCCCAATATTTTTATCAACCCAAGGTGTGATGTAAAGATGGAATACATCGGTCTACTTCTTCTGGTACCTCCCCCACAAAAGGTCGAAATTTTCAAAAATATATATTTTCTCCACGGAAAGAGGAACGATGATCCGACTTTGCTCCAACTTTGCAAATCCTAATATTTGCGTCAGTGCCAGGTCAGGTACGAAAATGGACAATATCGGTTCATTGCATAAAGCATATCCCCCACATAGGGTCAACATTTTAAATAATTACAACTCTTATGAAATGTGATGTAAGAGTCCGATTGTCTTCAAATTTCACACATCCCAATACTTCTACTAACACAAGGTATGGTGTTAAGATGGAATATATCGGTCCACTCCTTCGGGTATCCCCCCCCCACACTATAGGTCGAAATTTTGAATATCCCTTAAGCTCATAAAACGCGAAATTATCATTCGATTCTATTTAGACTTGGAACATCTTAATATTTCCATCAACGCAGGCTCTGTTATAAAGGCGGTTGAGATCCATTCCCTCTGGTACCTCACCCACAAAGGGTCAAAGTTTTGAATAACAAAAACGTTTATAAAATCCGAAATGAGCATCAGGTTCTCTTTAGATTTCCCACATTCCATTATTTCTACTAACACAAGTTCTGCTGTGAAGATGGGATAAATCGATCCTCTCCTTCTGTTACCTCCTCCACAAAGGTTCAAAATTTTGAATATCCATGGAGCTCTTAAAACGCGAAATTAACATACGATTCCATTCAGTCTTGGCGCATCTCAATATTTCCATCAACATGAGATTTGTTGTGAAGATGGAATATATCGGACGATTTCTTCTGGCACACCAACCACAAAATAGGGTTCAAAATTTCTAAAAACAAAACGCGCAAACAAAGCGAAGTACGCATCCAACTCTTTTTAAATTCCACACAAACAAACGTTTTTGCTAACACAAGAACTGATGTGTAGATGATCATTTATGTCTGCAAACCCCTTCTGTAGCCTCGCCCACAAAAGTTCACAATTTTCAATACTTTTATCTATTATAACATGCGAAACAAGTCAGAGATTCCTTACAACTTCCTATATAAAATTATCACAGATCTCATATTAAGTGGAGAAACTTGACGATATTGTCCAAACTTGGCAAATCGCAATGTTTAAATCATATTGATTTAAGTCCGATACGAAATGGACAATATTGGTCTATTCCTTCGGAACCCACTCCAAAGAAGGTCAACAATTTAAATTCTTATTCCATACCCCTAATTTTGTATTTTTGTTTTATATTCAAACTGAAATCAATAACAATTTGCCTTCTAATTAGTTCGCATCGAAACCAACATAAAATTAGCGGAATTATTTTTTAATTTTATGCAAATATGTGTAGGTGTGGAAAATTGCAAGCATTTGAATTTCCTAGCCATCGCACACGATTATGTGAAACAACATTTGCATAAACCTCGTCGACTACCTTTTTAAAATGCAGGCAAAGCAAAGAAACAATCGTATGTATCTCCCTCACAGGGTGTCTGGCTGTCCATCCACCCACCACCCAATCGATTTTACTTGGACAGACTCTCCAGTATTCCACTTTTTTTAAATTTGGTTTAATTATATGAAAGGGAACAACACACAAACCTGTCATAATATTATCAACACTTAGGGGGTACAAAACTTTAAGGTGTTAATCGTAATTTGTTACATATTATAAAAATTATTAATTTTTTATATAAAAAAAAGCTTTGGTTTTATGGATAGCTAATAACTGGACGTTTTCTAAACGTAATTAGGTGTAATATTAGTTATTTTGTAAGACACTGTGGGACAAGCGACAACATAATTAAGCCTGTTTTGGAAATAGTTCCGCATACGCCTTTTTGTCACATTAGAAACTTGTATTAGAATATTTAAAGGTTAATACGAGATTTGGAATTAAATATTCTCCCTCATATTAAATGAGTACATAGAAGAATATTTAAGAAATTTATGCTGTCAGTTTTTTCCTTATTTTAGCGATTTTTTATAAGAAATTAATAGATGACGGTTTTAGCTTTACCCAAATCTTTTCTGGTTATGGCAACCATTTGCTATTTTGTTATTTTTGTATAACGTTAGTAATGCATCGCCTGAACGTAACATAGACTACATACATTTTTAAAATTCCACATGGAACTGCATCAGAATCGGAGGTAACTCCAAAAAATGTATTTTTTTATGGACTATTTTGTATGGACTATTGATTGGTTATATATACAGTATTTAAATTTGGAATATGAGACGGAATTTGGAACAAAAAATAATTTTCCAAATTATTATAGAATCGGGTGAGATTTGGATATAGCTCCCATGAATATTTTCAGCCAATTTCGCATATTTGATGGACTAAACACGATATCTATGTCCGATTCCAATGAAATTCGGAATGAGTAACGGAATTTAGTACAAAATTAATTTTTCAAATTATATTGATATCGGTTCAGATTTTGATATGGCTCCCATATTTTTTTTGGCCGAACTTATATACCATCTTTATAATAGATCTTGCGTTGCTGGAAATATTGAGATGTGCCAAATCGGATGCTAATTTCGTGTTCTATGAGCTTCATGGATGTTTAAAATTTTGACCCTTTGTGGGGGAGGCACCAGTTAATAAAAATATATTAATGCGTTTAATTTAAAGACAATCGGACACGTACATATTATTATTACATTTTATAAGAGTTGTAATTATTCAAAATGATGACCTTTTTTGGGGAAGGTCCGATGTTGCCGATTATCGCACCTAACCTAGCACTGATAAAAATATTATTATGGAGCAAAATCGAATTATCCTTTCACTTTCTTCTCCAGTAAATTATTTTCTATGAAAATATTGACATTTTGTGTGTGACGTACCAGAAGGAGTGGACCGATATTATCCATCACCGAACTCGATCTAAGTTTGACAAAAATATTACGATGTACCAAGTTTGGATCAAATCGGATACTATCTTCGAGAGTTATCGTGCGCACCAGCCAGACAGTCAGGACGGATGGACGGATATCGCTAGATCGACTTCAAATGTCCTGAAACGAATTTGGTCCAAAGAGACCTAGGGTCTAAAACCGTTATGTCGATGATGCAAGTTTTGGCCATATAAAATGATATATACGCTCTCTAGTCATATGGCTGAGGGTATAAAAAGTACTTGTAACCTGTGATCTCCTGAAGAAACCCTCTGCCAAAGATCATATATATAAAATAAATGTATACCGATTTCTAAGGAAATGAGACCTCTCTCTCTCTCTCCCTTAGGTCTTTATATACATCAGACTTCTCTCTTTAAGGGAAGTTTTTTGTAAAAATTACCCAGTATTAACTTGGGAGTTGTATACCCTATTGATACGAGACTTCTAGAAGTCCTATAAGGAGATGATTGTTGTACAGATAGGAGAATTTTGGCAAATCTTTACTTGTAGACCTATATAGGATGTATAATAGTTGTGCCAATCTACATATTTCCATCAAACGAACTAGTGCCTTATCTGGTTCTGTGGACTCCGATCGTTTGTATGAAAACTCTGCGTATGAGTGATATGCAATCACTCATACGATTAAAATATCACACATTTACTCTCAAATAGTGGCATAATTAAAAAAAGGCGTTTTTATACCCTCCACCTTGGATAGGAGAGTATATTATTCCGTCTGTCTGTCTGTCTATCTATCCGTCTGTCTCTTTATTGCTACGTAGAGCGTCAAAATTAAGCAGAACCGTTTGTATTGTGTCTAGAATGGTTGGTATTGAAAATGAGACATATCGGTCCACGTTTTGATGTAGTACCCATAGAACGGTACCTCCAGATATTCGGCATTTTGATGATTTTTGCCACATTTCTTCGCGGATTTGTCTAAATTGGTATTAGTGTGTCCTAATGGGTTCTAGCTCCGTTGGCGAACATTGTATGTATATGTTCAGGTTTTTGTATAGCCCTATATAGCGGTACCACCCGATTTTTGATATTTTGATTTTTTTTGAGATGTGACACTTCTGGAGTAAATTAGTGTTAACTTCTGTATATTTACCATTGTTATCAGGCCAGAAAAACTCTAAAAATGTCCATAGCTTCCAGATTCGACGGAGAAGTGATTTATTGTAATCTGTAGCAATTGAATACTTTTTAATAATCTACATATATCTATCTACGAAAACTTAAACTGGCTTTCTATTGATATAATATATTTAAGTTGTTGATTTTTTGCAGGTCATGTCTGATAAGTCTCATATCTAAAGATTTTCCCATGTTAAATCCAAAAATTTACTTAGTTTTTAACCACAGTTGATATT